TCTGGCACCTGCCTTGCATGACCTACCTAGGATGCAGGCATCATTATTTTTATGGATCTGTTTATATATGTAGAAATATTTTCCAAACATGTTTTCCTTGAGGAGGGGCCAGGAAGCTAAATCCATCCAGGAGAGCAAGAGGAGGAGGTAGGGCCAGGTACTGTCTGGGAAAGGACCACAGAAGGTGGCTGGTGCTCCATGGGGGAAGCCAAACCCCCAGCCAGTTCCTGTATCTTCAAGACTTGCAGCGAGTCCCATTTCACAAGGCTCTGCCAAAGGGTCTGGGTGCAAGACCAGAGACTCTGCTTCAATTTTCAGCCTGATTTTGCAGGAATACAAGCAACCTAAAGAAAAAGAGACCACTCAGTGCAAGAATCTTTAGCTCCAGATCCGATGCAACAAGGGATGCTACCACCACGAGTCTCTTTAAATCCTAAACAGTATATACTCATTAAATTTTTAAGTCGAGAAATCTCTTGATGCATTTGCTCTGGGTCTCAGAGGCATTCAGCAGGGTAACCAGCTGTCCACGTATTGTCACCAATATCTCGCTTTGCAAAATCCTGGGCTCTTACAGCCTGGTGATTATGCGAGAATTTCAGCTTTTGAGTTCCCAGATTCCTCTCTGTTATGTTATTTATGGCGTTTATAGGTGCTTTGGAGCCTGGTTGTGCTTTCAGTTCCCCTCTGCCTTGATGCAACTCAACCACCTCCACCCCAGAGCTGGCCCCTGCTCTCCTGCCAGCTCCATGCCTTCCCGTCCCAGCAGCATGGCATTGCCAAGGCGAAGAGGGAAGATTGCTTTCCCAGTGGCAGCTCTCTCCCCACATCATTTCAGCATTTATTGCCAAGCGTGCTCCCTGCGATTTTGAAAGGAGACTGCATGGGCGAAGACGACATTTCCACGGCAAACATATTTCAAGAGGAAAACCACCACTGCCCCAAACACAGCTCTGTCTGAATCCTGAGGACACCAATAAATGGCTGCTGGCCCATAAGAATTCAAAGTATTTCTCTGGATGAGCAGGAACACAGCCTCTTAATGTTGCTGATGCAGGTGGCTTTACTGGAAAGGGCTAGACCTGAAAATCAGGACACCAGGATTTCAAGCCCAGCTTTCTCACTGTGTGATCTTGTACAGGCCTTTTTTCTAACCGGCCCTTTGCTTTCCCTGATACACAGTATTATCCCCATGTGAGGATTTAATGATGATTTCAATGCAAATTAATTATTAAGGATGTTGGCGTTTCCATCGCAGACCAGCCCCAAAGCATTTGCATCCACTTGTACACCTTCGAGACTGTCAAGTAACTTCTAAGCGAAGAGCAGAGCGATGCTGTTATTAAGCATTAACACTATTCAGCATTTAAATAGCATCATCCCTGTGTACAGGGTCGCAGGTTATAGGGTCACTGCGACCACCCAGCTCAGCACAGCAGCCGCCGAGGGCTGGAGGACAGCTTCAGGACCGGCTTCTCAAGCCAAAGCGGTGGGAAGGCAGCAAGGGACGTGAAGACATCCCCAAAGCCAAACTCAGTCTCACGGGGGTTTTTGCTCCAAAGCTGGGTCAGGTTACTAGGGGAAGCAAAAGCCTCATTGCTCCAGGGCAGGAGAAGGTGGAAACATCATCAGCTTCAGGCCAGCAGAGTAATCCCTGCCTTTAAAGAGAGCGCAAGCAGATGGTGGGTCAGATAAGAGAAATCCTTGAAAGCCCCGTCTGAAACACCTGTACAGAGACATCGCATTGCGCTAGAAAGAGGTGAGGCTTTGCGCTAATCCCACCACTTTCCCTGCCGCCATGACAAGAAGCAGCCCCAGGAACTGAGGATGAGGAGGGGAAAGTTTGCTACTTCTTCCTCTACTTTTAATTCCCAGTGCATATTATTTTTTCCCCATCAATGGCTTGCTGCAAACTCCCAAAGCTGAGCCAGCAAGAAACGCTCTTTCTCTTAAAAACAAACTAAACCAAACTTTCTCCCCTGGCCATCTAATCCCAACTAATCACAGATTCCAGCGAGTGGAGTTGTCTCCTGTTACTATCATTATTCCTGCTTGTATTATTGTGCCAGTTTTAAGGTCCTTGGTCGAGATACAGAGCCAGGTGAGGGGGAATAAACAAAAACCAGGCTGATCTGGGTCTCAGCAGCATTTATAATCTGAATTTGGCCACCTGCAATACCATCTGCCAGGCTTTGAGGTCCAACGTGGAGTTGAACTCATCAGAAATCTGGGCTGCTGCGGAAATGACAAATTAATAGCAGCCCCATGTGGGCTCAGAAAATGAAATCAGCAAACTGGGGACGACAGGGACCGGCACACGTATTCAGTTAATAACACACACGCCTCCGTGGGTGAGGCAGAGCCTCGGGAGGGCCCCGGGCAAGGATGAGGCACCAGCTGCCTTCCTCTCACCCGGGCACCCTGCACCCCAAGCCAGCGGTGGGCTCGGGTCCCTATCCCCCTCCAGCACATCGTCCCCAAGCCGTGTGGCCCCGCGATTGGGTGGTAGAAGTGGGTGATTTTTGGTTGTGTTTTTTGTCTGCTGATGCCACTGAGGAGGAGGAGGAGGAGGTGGAGGGAGGAGACGGCTAAACCTGTCCTCCTTGCAAAAAGCCTCCTCGTCTTCTTTCCTCCAAAAGCCTAGGGGTGAAACAAGGTGTGCGTGACCCCACCACGTAGGTGTCTGTCTGTCAGCAGGGACCTGCATAATGCCTTCTCAACGTCTTGCCCAATTCAATTAAATTTGACGCATCAAAGGCACTTTCAGTTCATACAAGCTCCTCGGAGGGCATGCAGCTGGGGAGAGGAAAAGGAGCCTTCCAACACCGGCTCAGCAGAATGCCCCAGTGAGGAAAGTCTAGGAAACAGCCTCGGGAAAATGGGTTTTGCATGGCATGTTGTTAGCGAAACATCTTGTTTCTCTCCGGAAGTTTTCCCCATCATTTCCAGCCTTATTTGATTATATCTCCTAGTCAGCCAGAGGATTGTGCTAGGAGGTTATTATCCACAGTTGGGAACTTGGGAGAGCGTCTTTCGGCTCAACGCTGCTTTTTAGCTAAAGCGAGGCGTGTGGCGGAGGAGCTGCCAGCAAAACGCGGCCACCTCCAAGGGAGATCTGTGGCGGGCACGTTACGAAAGGGTTTGGAGGATGGGAACAAGGCGCATTTTATCCAGCTGGAGCCACAGGCAGGGCTGAAGGGAAGTGGCAAGCAATTAATCCAGCTGGAATCTGGCCAGGATGTCTTGAAATACCAGCTTGCAAAACTTTCACCAAAACACGCCAACGGACCAGGTGTTTCTAGGATAACAGATCTGGTCTTTAACTCTGCAATCTTCCCCAGGATCAGCAGAAACAGGAGGAAACCATTATCAGGAATTAACGCTGTAACAGATCCTCGGTCCCTCGAGACTCTCCGGGTCTGTTTGCTTGAGCTCAGGACTTTGGGTACGTCTGAAGGAGAAAGGCTCATTTATTTTCAGCTCTGGAGGAAGAAGTCCCCTCTTCTTGCTCTGAAGAGGAATCACTTCTAGCTTTTGACCCCACAGGACGTGTGCAGGTCTGACTGCACCCAGCAGAAGGCAGCAGTGAATGCAATTTTTTAGTGCTTTTTAAATTTAAAGAGGGATTTAAATGATTTTACCAATCCCCTGCACGTAGAGCTTTGTTCACTGCAGGCTGGAACGCAACCGCTTCTGCAGAGGTGCATGGCAGCCATGGATAACCCCAGCCCGGGCTCGCTGCGTTGGGCACGGAGAGATGGCATCGCTTGAGAAAGGCAAGATGCAGTCAACCAAGCAAGGAGAGCAGATCTGGCAACCAAACTTATTTAAAAATAAAAACTAACCCTGGCACAAGGCTCCAAGGACTATGAGGGAACCGAGAATTCATTGTTAAGTGTCACTGGAGCCTTTTTCCGCCCCAAAGCCTCAGTCCCCAACAGCTCGGTGCTGCACAGCACTGAGAGCCTCCCGCCTCTGCTCCCGGCCAGCCAAGGATTTGCAGCTGGACAGATTTAGGATGGAGGGCAGCACCACAGGAACATGAAGGGAGACATGTAAACATGGCCTGTGTCCATGCAAAGCCTGTGGCTTTATACTGGCATTCCCAAGAGCAAAATCATTGACCTCGTTGAGCAATAGCTTGAAAGGCAAAAAGAAAAGAAAAGGGCCCGAGATGACAGGAGTAGGATACACCCTCCCTGGCTACAGGCAGCGAGCACCCCCCAACTGTCAACCCCCACGCTGGTAAAACCCACACCCGATGCTCTGTAAGGAGCAGCAAAGCAGAAAGGCAGCAAAGAGGTCCAGAGTCAGGCTCTGCAGCCATCAGCCCCCTTTATCCGAGCTACACCATCCCATTCAGCTTCCATCCAGGCACCTCGAGGAAGCCCTGGCTTTTCTGCGGCTTCCCAGCTAGGCAAAGCATCCCCCAAACCCTGCCCTGCTCCCAGGACAATTGCAAGCCACTTGTTTCCTGGAGTTGAGCTGTCTTGAGAGCCTGGGAGCAGCTCCAGGTACTTAACTTTGCGTTTCAACATCCCGTGTAAATTGAATGCACTGGGAGCCTGCCCCAGGAGAGCTCCTCCAGCCCGACACCGGCAACGAGACTTTTCAAACAAGAACGCAGTCCTCTCCAGTCTGCAAGCACACAAGGAAGGCACTATTAACTACACCTCTGCTAACAAAACACCCAGAGCCTGGTGAGAGGTAGTAAATGGGAAAAACAGAGGAGGGAGCGCGGCATCGTTATGCAACCACGTTATCTAACGACCACAGAGACACCCTATAGGGGCTCTTTGTTTGCAGAGGGAAGGAGAAAGAAATGCCACCAATATCTGAGTCACTGGTTCACCAAGAGGCTCCAAAGTTATTTTTCAGATGGAAACTTTTCCAGTTTCACATGATAATTTGGGAGGACTGGCTAATTCTCTGGCTCCACCCACTGCCTTGTAACACAGCTCCCTGCTGCTCTTGCATATATAGATAGGTATGGCCCTACGACTGCATGCAGACAGAAGAGCCTGGAGACAGAGGAAACCTAAACTTTCTTCCTTCCTAGCTGCCCTTCACCCGCTCCCACCATGAAGAAGGAAATATTAACCCTGGCCTTTGCTCGATCCGTCTTTGTTGAATTTATCTCCACGCTCATCTTCGTCTTCATCGGCCTCGGCTCAGCCCTGAAGTGGCCGTCTGCCCTCCCCAGCATCCTTCAGATTTCGCTGGCGTTCGGCCTGGCCATCGGTACGCTGGTGCAGGCGTTTGGCCACATCAGCGGCGCCCACATCAACCCGGCGGTGACCATCGCCTTCTTTCTTCTACGTGATTGCCCAACTGGTCGGGGCCATCGCCGGGGCTGGCATCCTCTATGGCGTGACGCCAGTCAATACCCGTGGCAACCTGGCCATCAATGCGGTAAGTCTCCCTACCTGGAGATGGTTCACCTTGCCGTGTGGGCTTGCCTTTCCTTGTGAGCGAGGAGCTGGTACCAGCACCAACCTGGAGAGCCAAATCCATAAGGATGGTTGGTCTCGGCACATTGTCCTGCATGCACAGAGGGATAGGAATGGGATAGGAGCAAACACTGGCGTAGTCAGCAGAGTGTTGACATGACAGCTTTATTGTGCGGGGTGATGAATGACATGGTCTTTTCTTCCTTTAATAAGTGCTTCCTTTATCCTAAGGGCCCTCGTGAGTCACCCACACCATTGAGATGTTCTTGACTGCAGCCTCTCCACCTGGAGATTAGTGCTGGGATAGGAGTCATGCCAGGACGGAGAGGGGGAGGGCAGAGAGCAGAGCCCAGTTAAACCAGTACAGGCAGGGGGAGTGGAAGCCCACTGTAACCAGTGCACTGGGGGAGCTAGGAAATGGAGATGGGTGGAGAGAAAGCTGAAGAACGCGCAGGAGGGCACGGAGAGGCTGCGAGGGGCAGGGGCTGCTCTTGGAGGAGGAGGGGAGATGGCGGGACCCTCTGAGATAAGCAGGGATGAGAAGCACGTCTCAAACCCCCGGGGCAGTGCTGGGAAACCACCTGAAATGGGAGCGGTGGAGCTACCGCTCCAACCACGGCCAGGTCTGGACCCCTCGGAGCAGCACAGACACGTTGCAGAGGGTTCGATCACTACGGTAAGGTGCTGCTATGCATCTTATTCCCACATGCTCCATGTCCCAAACCAGTCAGCTTTAGCTAACAAACAAGCTGCGATGGCTTAGGTCATTTTGCCCTTCCTATGCCCAGTGGGGTTGAGTCCATCTGGCAGTTCCCAGTGGTTAGCACGGAGGCACCGGGGCAGCAACAGCCTGTCTTACCCCCATGACCGCACGCCAGCCTTCATCCCAACCCTCACCCTTCATCTCGTGCCCTCCACGGTGGCTGCCATCTGCTCCCCAGCCTCTTGGGGAGGTGCCCCAGAAAGCAGAGGGGAGAAGAGTCAGGATACGACAGCTTGCAAGGATCAAGGGGGAAAGAAATGCAGGAAAAAAGGGACAAACCAGTGTGGGATTTGGTGGGAAAGCACTGAGTGTTGCGGAGACAAGCAAGCAGAGAGAGATGTGGAAAGCCCCAGGAAGGGAGGGGCTCGGGGGAGAGACAGATTCTGGAGCGTTAAACAGAAAGAAAGATAATTTCTTCCCTTTCAGGGAAAGGAGCGGGGAGCCCGAGCAGTGGCCAGCACGGCACCTTGTGCCCCCGGGCTGGGCAGGGGACCTCGGGGGATTCTCGTGCATGGCTTTGCCAACCCAAATCCACCAGCAAAGCGCCTAAGAGCCCTCGCAGTGATGCCCAGCCCCAGGGATGGTTAATTATTGTTGCTCTCGATGGTTTGCAGCTCAACAACAACACGACCCCGGGCCAGGCCCTTGTGGTGGAGATCATCCTCACCTTCCAGCTGGCCGCATGCATCTTTGCGTCCACGGACAACCGGAGGAATGGCAACGTGGGCTCCCCGGCACTGTCCATCGGCCTCTCCGTCGCTGTAGGCCACTTGGTGGGGGTGAGTGTCCAGGCAGGAGGACAGGGCAGAGGATCCCGCGGGGACGGGGCTCCCCAAGATACTCTGCTGCAGTTGGTCCCAGACGGAGCTGCATTGGGACAGCCAACATGGGACATATGGAGGCTTCTTCTCCATGGTGATGGGGGGGTCCCCACCTCTCTGCAAGAGAAACAGCGCTGGGGGCTGTTTCAGTCCCTGCTTCTGAGAAGTTGGTCGTATCTGCTAAGCAACATGATGCATCTTAACCTGGTCTCCTTTCTGCACTGACAGATCTACTTCACCGGCTGTTCCATGAATCCAGCCCGGTCCTTTGGGCCCGCGGTCATCGTGAGGAGGTTCAGCCCGGCACATTGGGTGAGCATCGGCAGCGTGCCGGGACGAGCCAGCAGAGATGCTGCCAGGGCCAGATGCAGGCAACGAGGGGAGAGGGCAGCGATTGCTGCAGGGATTACAGGGCTGGGTGCTTCAGAGCCCATCCCAGGCCTGAAAGCATAAAAGGGGGCTGGAGAACGAGGGAGGTTGTCCCCCTTGATGCATAGGGAACAGGTTATCCCCATGGCACAGAGCCAGCAAGGGGACAAGCATAAACCCCCCATGCAACGGCGCACGTTGAGCTAGGGCATCATCTGAGGTCAGTAAAGCCCACAGAGAAGCCCAGCTTAGGCTTTCCACTTGCCCAGCACCGCCTGCAAGCTCAGACCCAGCCTTGCAGAGCAGGCTTGGTGCCTCCTTTCCAGCACACCACATCCTGCACTCATACAGAGATTTATGTCTTCAGTAAGCAAAGTTTGAGGAGATTTCAGCCCAAGAAGTCTACTGGCAGGGGTATTTGTATCTCTCCATGGGCTAGATGCGGAGCAGCGAGGGATGCTGGTGTGATGGCTGGACCTGGTGCACCAGCCTCCAAGACCTGCTCTCACCCTCTCCCTTTTGCTTTCTAGGTGTTCTGGGTTGGACCCATCCTCGGGGCTTGCTTGGCCGCTCTGCTCTACTTCTACATCCTCGTCCCCTACTGCATGAACATGTCAGATAGGGTTGCCATCATCAAGGGCACCTACGAGTCAGAAGAGGAGTGGGAAGAACAGAGAGAGGAGAGGAAGAAGTCCATGGAGTTGACCCCACCATAGGAACAGTTGGAAAAAAAAAAAACAAGCAAAAGGTGGGAGGAAGCCCCACAAATGGGCTCATGTGTGAACCAAAGCCAGGCAATGAACACATCCCTACAGTAGACTGTCAGATAGGGTTGCCATCATCAAGGGCACCTACGAGTCAGAAGAGGAGTGGGAAGAACAGAGAGAGGAGAGGAAGAAGTCCATGGAGTTGACCCCACCATAGGAACAGTTGGAAAAAAAAAAAACAAGCAAAAGGATGGGAGGAAGCCCCACACATGGGCTCATGTGTGCACCAAAGCCAGGCAATGAACACATCCAGCTACAGTAGACTCTTAAGCAAAAGTCTTATAACTCAAAGACCATCTGTGACTAAGAAACAAAGGAGTATTGCAGTGTCTGTGTATATAATCCCTCTACGCGAGTGTGAGCGCTAGAACCTCTCCTAGCTTAACTGCAGCCAGCTAAGCCCAGCAAAGGAGTCCCAGCCCAGGGCAGCCTCTCAGCTGTGGTTTTACACCCACTCGGCTGCATCCCTGCCCCTCTGGGTGCGAGTTTTGCACGATTTTCGGAGGCCTGAGACCGCACGTTCTGGGGCACACAGGATTTCACCCCTGCGTCTGACAGCCTAGGGGATGGAAACACCGTGTAGATACCAGCAAAGAAGAATGACTGCTTTGGGCAGGTGGGTGCAGCAAAATCCCCCGCTTTCTCCCCGCCACAGGGCCCACGCTGCTCATAGATGCTCTTTCATGCATTAGCTGGTGCGTCCTATTTATTCGTGGCTGCAGAAAGTACGTGATTTTTGGATTTTGTGTCGAGATCTTTATAATGTAGCATATTATTTATTGTTAATAAAGGAAATTTTAAAAAAGTCATGGGTGCCAATCTGCTCGGCTATCATATCTTAGGAGCAAAAATGGGTTAAGCTGGATGCAAAGCCATCCCAAAGAGCCAGAGCAAGTGCTCAGACCCCAAATCCCATGGCAGCTGGCACCGCGAGCAGGTAGTTAAGGAGGTGACATGGACACTAGCGTTGGAGTGGGGCAAGAGCAGGAGGTGCCGGGTCCAGGGCAGCTTGAAGCCCATCTCCGAGGCTGGCATGAGCTGGGAGGAGCCAGCAGCAATCCTTCACACACTTTGCCGGTTTGACTCGGGCACAGCTTTTTGCCATACCAGTTCTCCCAGATGGCTCCACAGGTGCCCTCAAAAAGTGACCCGCAATGCTCCCCAGCCCCCTCGCCGGGTGCCAAACCCACACCTTCGCCCTGACCTTCTGCCGTAGCCCTGCTCTTCCAGTTCAGCCACAACCCTCTGCCAAAGCATCTCGCTCCCGACCTGGGCACGGGGACACCGCACGCTGGCACCGTCCCAGCCGTCCCTCCCACCTGCTCCCTAAATCCAGCCCCGTGCAAAGCTCCACCATCACAGCCCCCCTTCTTGCTGCAAAGATGAGGTTTCCGCTGAGCATGGACTCCCAAGAAGATGGGAGACGCTTGCCTGGGAGATCCCTGATCCCAGATTCAGCTTGATCCCCATCGGACAGGTTATGCCACCTTTGCATGGCAGCACCGGGGAGGATAGACAGCATCACCGATATTTTAGCACACCTAAGCAGATCTGCAATCCAGGCCGCGGCACTGCATGAGCCTGGGCAGCAGCAGACCCTCATCCCTCATTTTTCCCCTCTGCCTCCCCCAGTTCTCAACAGAAGAGGTTGCTGACAAGCAGGAGGAGCAAAGGAGGTGGAAAAGTCCTTAGTTTGGGTCACGCAGGTCAGCAGCAGAGCTAGGAGGCTAAAAACGCAATCCTGCACCGTCTTAACCCTCTGTGCCTCAGTTTCCCCTTTTGTAAGGGGGAAGAATATTAAGCCCTCTCGCATTTGGTAAGGGTAGCATGGTTGCTCATGGCATGGGAGATGCTCCACAGACACCAGCCCCAGGGAAATATTAAAGCTCCTCCAGATCCAGAGCCGCCCCCTCTCAGAGCAACCCACAGCGAAGCGTGGGGCTGGAGCACAGCAGCATCCCCAAAAGCTGCATCCCACAGGCTCCTTCCACTGCACCCACAGACCCTGAAGATGCCACACCCAAAGGGTGCATTCAGACCCCTGCCCCCAGAGTGGGGAATCCCGGGGGTCCCCCTTGCCTTGCTGCTCTAAACCCCATCCGCCTTCGCACGGGAGAAGGGATCCAGGAGTCCTGGCATACCCCACACCCCATCCCGTAGCGGGAATCGGGGGCCACTGCAGCACCCCACAGAGGGGCCCAGCCCACACCAGCACTGCCAGCATGATCAACAACTGGGAGAAGAAACCCAGCCTGGGTGTGAGCCCTCCATGGGGATGAATCAGAGGATCCTGCAGCAGCAGCTTTGCGTCAGCACAAAAAGCATCCAGGGCCTGGCTCAAAAACAGGGGCAGGATGGCCCCACGCAGGGCTGGGGCCAGCGGGAAGCGGGGCACGAGTAATTAACCCCCTTTCCCAATGCACAGGCCAGGGCGGACCCTAAACTACGGGGTTAAGGGGGGCTGGAGCCCGGTGAGCACGCCAGCGAAGCCAGCGGCATCCCTACGGTGCGGAGG